GGACAGTATTGGCCGGATTGTCGGCCAAAAAACTCTTAAACACCCGTCGGTCCAGTAATTTCAATCCCGCATCCGTCAGGCGAAGTTCAGTCGGTCGACCGATGGCGTCGAATGCGCCCGTTTCGAGCGTGTCGTCGGCGGTCAATGTTATCATGTGAACCAACAACAAGTTCAAGTGATCGGCACCGGTAACCCCGGCGAACGCCCGTACGGACACGCGCTCGACAGCGCTGTCGATGATGACCAGTTGACGCAGCGCAGGTAGATTGACAAAAGCGTATGTCTGTATTGATTTTATAGGGTTTGTGTTAAAAGTGATCTCGGTCAATTGTGACAACCCTTCAAACCCCCTAGCTGGTAACATTTTAATTTCAGTGTTATAAAAGGCTACTGATTTTAGTGAACGTAATGTGCGAATGGCCCCAAATAAATTTTGACTATGCGCGCCCATGGACACAACCTCATTAACCGGTACGTGCGATATAACGAGCTCAGTCGCCGTATTTTCGCTACCCAGGAATGCATTATTGTTTACCACTCGTAAACTTTGAGCGCCAGCCATTACTATGGATTTGAATTGTATGCCAGAGAATGCTCCGACCGGTAGTTCCTCTATTGCCGTGTTTATAAGATAGAGTCGTACGAATAGTTTCTTATCGGCCGGTAGTGTTGCGTTAAGGTCGTTGAAAATTTTTACTACGTTCATCGGTGTCGAACCGTTGCATGTAATACCGCAACCGGTTGTATATTCGTAATAATAACATGGTGCTTCTATAGGTGTCGACGATCCGGGACAATTTGCTGCCATTAATGTATTTAATACATTTACCAATGTCGCTAGAAATACTTAGAATGCAAATTTTTAGTCTTAGTAGTAATTATATTAAAATTAATAGTACATACAAATGTAATACATCATGATAATTTCCTTAAATAATGGGAGATTTACTGATGGTTCTTAACTGACACAATTGTATTTAGTTATAGTTTTATTAAATTTTCACTGCTTTTATACGGTTTAAATCTAAACTATCTATATTTGCTACGATGTCGTTTGTGGTATACGTGACCAATACGTGGTTTAAGTAGATTTAATAAATATAGTTACTGAAAAATGGTACTTTGCATCTTGCAGAATTTATGCAATGCAGCCGTTTATGGTCAAAGGTAGAAGCTATGTTAATGATAAAATAATCAAGTAATATTATGTGAAATTTTTGTTATTTATTTCATTAGATTACAGCTTAAGTCTTTGTCACAGGATTAACATGGGAAATGCTAAATATAAAAAATATTGTTAACTCAATGAAACTAATGGGCATTCTATGCAAAATAATAAGTCAATTGCCTAAATATTAAATTTATTAAAAATGGTTTTAATTATTTGAATGTCAACTAAATTGTGGTTAACCAGTATATCAATATATCGATAATATATCACGAGTCATCTTTTTAACATCTAATTTATTAGAATAATTGGAAAATACTAAATTTAATATAAAAAATAAAGTTAAAAATTAATAAAGATTGATTTTGTATTTCTCATTTAGTATAAGAGTTAAACAAAAGAATTCCAACAGATATAAAACGTAGGTAATAGTATAAGTATAGCTTAAATATTATCAATATACATTTAGGTATTATTAATATTTTTAATATTATCAATATTTAACATTTATAACTAACATTAGAAAAATACACCGTTTAAGTACTAACATTCTGAAAGAACATGCTATGTTTAACATTTACGTTTAATTACAATTTGGGAAATAATTATCCGAAGTTTATATCATTCATTTGATTAACTAGTACAAAGTTTAATTAATTATAAAATTATAATTTTATTATAAATGAGGGGTTAAAACTATTTATTATAATATTAATTTAATTGTTATTATTTATGATACTATTTAACAAAAACTGGTCAATTATCATAAAATTATAACATTAAACTGATAAATAATGTTATGTTTAAAAATATAATCTGGTGTGAATATCAACACACTTAGTTTTGATAATCTAATTAATTGGCTAATCATCATAAATAAAAGTTGAATAAAAAACTTACAACTATACATAACAAATGAATATATGTACCGTATTTAGAATGCTATAATTGCTTGTAAAGTATACATAAACTTTATAAATTATCAGTTAATTGTAATTAAAAATCATGGAATCACTTGGTAAGTTTTAAAAACTTATAATTAATATTTAATAATTAAATTAAACAAATAATTTTCTCTCTCTCTCTCTCTCTCTCTCTCTCTCTCTCNAACAAATAATTTTCTCTCTCTCTCTCTCTCTCTCTCTCTCTCTCTCTCTCTCTCTTTCTCTACGCATAAAACAATTACATGTTTATACTAGGAATTTCACAATATTTATTACTATTGGCCACACTATGTGTATCAGGAATGTACACAATGGACACGTGCCCAGCAAATAAAAAAATATTTCTACCATGTGTTTGCGAACCATATGGTGGCGCTAATATATATTGCACCGGGGACAAAATCACCGACATTAAAGCTGCGTTGCAAAACATTAGCAGCAAATTACCCGGCACAGATAGAACATTCACCAAATTCACCTTGGCACACATGTTGGGTGCAGAGTTGCCAGCTAACTCATTGGCGGACCTAAAATTTAACTCAATCGAAATCAACGGGGTCAGAGCGTTGAAACGTATAGACAGCCAGGCATTTGCCGGCACAGCCGACACAGTTACCGAGCTGAAATTTGCCGACCTACAACTAACGAACCCTGGTGACATCATGGCCGTGGTTAACTCGCTGCCACAATTAAACTCGTTAGAACTGTACGTAATGGGCATGCGCCAACTTCCTGCGCATGCGTTTCAAACAGCTTCAAAATTGTCCAAAATTACCATAATTGCCGAGACTATTGACCGAATCAGTGGCCGCACATTCTCGGGGCTGACGCCACGATTGGTTAAATTTTTTAACGTAAAGATCGGGGTAATTGAAGACCAGGCGCTTGCATTTGACGGCTCGTTGACAACAGGTGTACACTTGGTGTTTGATGGCTGTACATTTGATTTGGCCAATTTTAGTGCAACTGCGTTTAATGGCGGTACACAACCCGTGTCGATGACTTTACTGAATAGTAAACAGTTGCCTTACTTAGATGACAAGGTGTTTGGCCCACTCGTGGCCGCCAATAGGGCTAATGAGTTGATAGCGCACGTGGACTGCGATGAGTGCCGTAATCAATGGCTGCAGAAACCGGAGTTTGTCTGACAAGTGACGGGTATTTACTGTACAAATGGCCGCCAATTAAATGATGAACATAATTTCGCTGGATGTTAATTTAAACATTGTTAAATATACTACAATTGACAATTAATTACTACATAATAGCAAATAAGTCTATTTATTTAAATGCTGCATTAAAACTGGATTGTAAAATAAATGACAACTAAATTATGCATTAATAAATTGATTAACCATGTAATGATACGATTGTCTTTTAAATAACTTTACTTATTATAATTTGTTAGAATTAAATAAATAATTAATCATTTGAAATATTAAAACATGGCATAAGTTGTATTTAGGTTCATCTTATTTCAATTGTTGAATTTAATTTTATGTTATATACTTCATGCTAGATATAAATGTTTTATCACATTCAAAAATTTGCAAACAATGTACGGGTATAAAATTGCATTCCATTCATATGTGTCATAACATTAACATATTACAATAATTTATATATTATATTTACTTATCAATTTAATGGCACCAAATGCAAACGTGACAATTGGCACATAGACAAACCAGTTTCATATTAAAATAAATATTTACTCTATGTAATATCAATACATAGCATAACATAGACATTTGTCTTTAATCAATGACACGTATGCTATTTAACTTTGTAAATAGATCACAATAAAATTGTCTAGCATTTTCTTAGATTTATTAACGTTTAATAACCTAGTGACAAAATGCCGTCGACACCAGGATGGTTTTCAAACTTTATTAACAATACGTTTGGCTCTAATGTGACACACATTATGAACGCCTATTCATCTGCGGACAGGTGTGTGGTTTATTTTTCATCAAGGGAGTTAGAAATTGACTCAATCGAGCTTGACCCAATTAACCGTAAACTTGCTTTAAAACTGCGTAACTCGGCCACCGTGGAGGAATCAGTCCTGGTGCCATTTAATTGTGAGCACCGCAAATATCGTGATACCCAGGTGATTTTTGTGACCGTGGCCGCTCAGGAGCGTGATGGTACAATTACTACCATATGTAGTAATTATAAGCTCATGGCTAATCGATCAATAATCATTGGCGATCTTGGTGAGATCAAACTACAGGCCTATGGTAAAGGTCTTTGGGTTGATGAGAGTAATTATAATCATCGTACGAAAGAATATGAGTGATTAATTAAGCCACTAGAATGAGAATGGTGATTTAATTTTTTATAACAACTCTATTACTGTAAAAGGTGATGTTTTATCTTAATTTTTATACTATTAAATGTGTTTTAATATGCTGTATTTGTAAATTTTTCACAATTATTTTAAAACTATTATGATAATTTAAATATTTTTAATATTTTTATTTTGATCTGGATTCTAAAATAAATTAATATCTTTGCAACAAAATTATGTATTAATAAATTGATTAACCTTCTACAGCTACGAATATCTGCTAAATAACTTTATTTGTAGTATTTTTACAAACTAATTAAAATTATAAATATAATTTCAACGTGTAGGCAAATTGTAGTGCTTGATTATCAGGCTAATAAATACAAGTAAATTAATAATTAAATTATGTTTTAAAGCATGGAACTATTTAGTTTAATTTTAACTTACAGTCTAAAAGATACTTTGCATCTATTTAATCTATTTAATAAAACCTTTAACTGAACAATTAACCATACTTAATTTATAATGATAATTTACGTGTAAAATTTATTGTATTTAATAAAGCTTTTATTAAGAAATATTATTATTTTAATGTTTATTGAATAGTCTGTGAGTTTTCAACATTTTGTTGACAGTATTGTATCAGCAATTGGTTGACAGCATTGATGTCCGCATCACTCGATTCACGCATTTCTTCGCATATATTCACAAATATATACAGTTTTCCCAAAACGTATGGATTCTGTCATTAAATAAAAATTATATATTTTGTATTATTATTATATAAATAAGTTAAAGATTTAATACTTGATTCAAATTAAAACAGTTTTGATGATAATTATCAACAAGGTGTCGATAACACTGTCTATTATTGAGCTCTTGTTTAGTGTTTAGAATAGCATTGCTATCGACTGTCAGTAAGTGTTGAATACTATTCACGTAATCAGTTATATGTTTGTCAACAGATTGTCTGCCTTTCAATAAACTCTCCAACTCTTCAGTATATCTATTGAAAAAATATAAGTAATTTATAATAATTTTACATTAAATTTATGATTTTTGTAAATAAACTTTTGTAATTCAGCCATATTCGTTGCACTGTCAATTTGAGCATTTAATAAATAAACTGGCACATCTCTATGAGCCACCAAATCAAAATCATTTATGTCAAATTGAAAATTGCTGTATAAATGTTTGTCACTTTTATGAAAACCTAAATACATAATTATCTCATTATTATTATTAAATATTTTTTAACTTATATGAATAACCTGTAAAATCTGACACGGGTAACTTTGCAATGGACACATCGCCATATTGCTGTGCCTGTTGGGTAAAATTTTCAGCGTCTACCTGACCAGGTGTGTTTGTCCATTTGTATATATAATCAAACTGTTGTTGCAGGGTCTCGTTGTTTAAAGCAGCCTGCTCGCTATTTAATAACCAGTAGTGAGCGAAAAAACTACCTGATAATACCATAAATATAATTATTGTATATTACTTAAAATATTAAATAATTATATTTAAAAACTTGATTAAAACACTAAACAATGATAAAATAATGTAACAAAACATAAAATAAAATCCTACCTATCATTGTTTTATAACGTTTATCATAATACATCATGGCACTATTTTGATTCCACATTGATGATGTGATAGCGTATACGTTAATATCGGCGGGCAATTGGTCTTTGAACATTGATCCTATTTATATATTTTTGCAACATTGTAATTAATTATTGATTTATTTGCAATTTAACTTTGCTAGATTTTATTTACCAGAATCGCATGACTCCAAATAAAACACTAGTTTTTTGTAGCGTTTGTTTTGGTGCATCAGTTTAAGCAACTTGATCAAATCATCACCATACAAGTAGTCATCACCTTCTTGGAATAAGATTAAATCTGAAAAAACAATATAATAATTAGATTGTATGTAAATGACTTAGAGAGAGAGAGAGAGAGAGAGAGAGAGAGAGAGATCAAATAAATGTACCTGGACCACCGTGGCCAATGAAATAAATAAACACATGATCATTAGGACCACTATTTAGCACTTTTCTACCCTCGTTTATCAAATCACTGCTTCCATTCAACACAGATTTAAACATCTAAATATTAATTGAAAACAAATTAAATAAAAATAAAAATGACAAAGATAATACATAACATATATTTTAATTAATGATACAAAAATATTATTTACCATGGCTCTATCATAAAAACCAGTATAATCCAAGGGAACACCATGGTATACATCTGTACCGTTTGGATGATCAATGACAATACCAGGGGTTGGATTAGCCATGTTGTGAGCGATATCATTAGGGTGAAATACAATAATGTTTTCATTAGGTATACCATTGGCGTGAAAAAATTGATATGCATGGTATACACTTGACTTAATTTAGTAAAAATAACAATTTAATTAACCAAGAATATATTTTATAATTGAATATAATATAATTAGCAGGTTAGTTTGATAAATACCTGGCTTGCATAGTTTGGCCAACCATCAGCTCCGGCAACCAATACCACCCATTTTGTGCCATTAAATACCGGTTGATTTAAATGCTGGTCAATTGGCACTGCATTTATCATAATTAAAAACATCAATAGTATATATAAGAACTGCATTTTTAATAAATATTATTTTTACTGTTAAAAACTAGTTATGGATAACTCTTAAAAGTTTTATTATAAACTACTTAAATAATAGTGTAGTACATTTATATTTATACCTTATAGACATCATTATAATACCTACATGGGCAATAAACTGATTACAGAATGGACATAAATGAGCTTGATATGCTATGAATTCTGTGGGGTAAAAATTTATAAACAGGTGGTAAATACTACATTGATCATTTAAGGTTCATTATCAAATATAATAATTTACAACATTATATTGTTTTTAAGTAACTAATATTTTTTACTCTCTCTCTCTCTCTCTCTCTCTCTCTCTCTCTCTCTCTCTCTCTCTCAATTTTAAATTAATTCTTTTAATAAAGAGTACTATATATGGCACAGTTGATACATTTATTTGATCTCTCTCTCTCTCTCTCTCTCTCAATTTTAAATTAATTCTTTTAATAAAGAGTACTATATATGGCACAGTTGTGCTAAAAATGAACTTGCACTTATAAAAACGTTTAGACCGATAATAATTAGATTTTTAATATTGTACAATGTAATAAAACTGATTTTTAAAATGTTTTGTCAAATATTTTATTATGAAAAACATAAAGTTAAATGTTTTATTTGTTATTCAAATAAAAAATAATTTTTAATAATAACACAATAATTAGCAAACAAACATTTAATTATTACTGACAGGTGGGTCAATTGGAAACCGGGCTGATTCAAGTGTACACGTATTTGTACCACATTTAGGTCCTGTTAAATGAACGAAGTAATAGCAGGCGGTTAGACTGTCCACCCCTTTACCATTGGCGCACCCTTCCTGATCATCGGTCACATAAACTTTGAATACAAATAGCACATCACCCGCGCATCGGCCACTTGTCACTGTGCCTGTGTTTATCTCAGACATGTCACCTTGGTTAAAATATAATAATAGATTTAAGTAAAATGATAACATGTTTTTTATTGGATTTAATTATAATTGTAATAATATCAATATAATAAAATTTATTTAAATAAACATTAAATCTATAATATAACTAATATAATATAATTAACTTAATTGAAAACTCATTTATAATTTACATAAGTGAACATGGTGTGGAACTTACCATTTAGGAAAGACAAATACACGGTCATTTTGTCAATTGGTAATTGTTCAACTTGGCCATTTACAACGATATCATATTCCCATTTAAAAACTTGCGAATCATAACCATTGCATGTAAAGAGAGCGGGAAATGTCTGATTTTTATACTGTATAAATTGTATCAACGACCCTGTGCATTTTGCAGATTCGAATAAGGTGAAATTCACCGTGTAAAACGGAGTAATGGCTGCAATTTTTAGTTAATTTATATCCGTATAGATAACTTTAATTTAATGTTGAATTTAAAATTAATGTAATTTAATGATATTTTTAAAAGTTACCTTCTCGACGTCCAGGTTTTGGGAATCCGTTGTCACCAATATTTTGATGACCTAAAATTATTTTTAATTATTTTTGCATGGTTAATTTAGTTTAATTAATATTACCAAATGTGCGTCCAGTTTTGGGCAATTCATTTCCAATGTGGTCAAGTTCAGCATCAATTCCTGTTTTTTAAATGTACAATTTAATTTTTTAATTGATTTATTTTTATATTATTTAGTTTTAATTTTACTAATTTTAAAAAATAATTATTACTGTACGAATAAACCGCATTTAATGTAATAATAAAACTAATAAAGATAAAAGCAATTGAGTTATTCATTTTAACTGTGTATGAATTAAATGTTCAATTATTTAACACAAATAGCATTTCACAATAAACTAATTAGTTTTATACCTGCATTATTTATACTAAATTTACTAACTTTACAAATTACTATACAAATGTCAATTTATATATGTTTAAACAACTTAATTAAAAATAAAGATAAATTTATAAAGATGTAAAATTTGACATATATAAATTTTAGTTTATAACTAGTGCTAAGTTTGTCTTGGATATTTGTTTATAGATAACATTAATACAATTTACTATGCCAATTAAGTCATACCTTAATGTTCAATCACTATTTACTTATAAACTATATTTATCCAGAAAATGCCCTTGTCTATGTGTAAGTGTTACCGTTGCACTAAAAGTGTTTAATCTAAATTCGCACAATATAAACAAGGGCATTTTCTGTAATTTTAATTGTACTTAACATGTACTTTTTTATATCTAAAGTAAATAAGGTAGGCAGAGCTATAAATGTAGTTTATAAATAAACATTAAGTTATGACTTAACCTTAGTATTAATGTTATTCATTAACAAGTAAATTTATTAACGTTTAGTATAAATACTGATGATTTAAATTTTAGTTATTTATTGTGATGAATGCTATTGTGTTAAATAATTATAAAATTAACTTAAATTTATTTAAAATGAATTATTCAGTTGCTTTAAGCTGTATTTATTTTACTATTTTATTAAAATCATCTTATTCTTACAGTAATAATAATTTACAAAATAATTAAAACCATAATTAAATTTTATAAAATAGTAATTAATAATTAAATTGTATATTTTTAAAGGAATTGATGCTCACTTTGACCACATTAGAAATGAATTGCCAAACGTTATACAAGGTATTGGTAATATTGCTTAAACTTTAGTTACCACAACCAAGATAATTAATTAATTAAAAATATATTTTAGCTTATGATAATATTGGTGTCAACGGATTTCCACAACCTGGACGACGAGAAAGTAATTTTACGCAAACATTTTACTTTACATTGATTGATTAAATAATTCAACATTGATATATAATAAATAGTAATTAACTAAACCCATTGCAGCAATTACCCCGTTTGTCGATGTCAATTTCACATTATGGGAATCAATTAAATGCACAGGGTCGTTGGTACAATATATACAGCTAACTAATGTGACATTTCCCGATCCATTCTCTTGTAATGGTTACGATTCAATGTTTGCCAAATGGGATTATGAAATAGTTGTAGATGGTAAAGTGGAAAAACTACCATTTGACAAATTGGCAGTGTATTTGTCTTATATGAATGGTAAGATTGAAACCATGTTTAATTATGCAATTGATCTATAATTGAGATACAATCAATATAATATAACTTTTATGTTATATTAATTTAACACAGAGTTATTGTACTTTAAAAAGCATTACATTAATAATTGTAAAAACAATACAATGTAAATAAATTACACAAAATCTGATACATGGTTATATTTGAATCTAGGTGATTTGTTTGAAGTAAACACAGGCGCAGTGACAAGTGGCCGGTGCGCAGGGGATGTACTATTCCTGTCTAAGGTATGGGTGGCCGACGACCCGTACGGGTGTTCCAGTGATAAAGGGGTGGACAGTCTGATCGCCCGCTATTATTTTGGCCGTTTAACCGGACCCAAATGTGGCACAAATACTTGTACACTGGATTCGGCACGATTTACAATTGACCCACCCGTCCGTAATAATTAAATGTTTATTTAATAATTATTATTAGTGACTAGGTTGATGTTAATGAATTGTTAAATTTATTTTATTTCATTTTGAATGACAGTAAAAATTTTCATTTATAAAATTTTATATTTATACTTTTTGTCAGTACATTTATGACATTTTCAGTACATTAGGCAACATATAGTACTACTTAACTGTGTTTTTTAAAATGATAAATTCACGTGGTATAAAATTTTTAATATTTTTATTTCCCTTGTTACACAATGTACTAATAACATTTTAATTAACAATGTAAATCATACCATTGTTTGCTATAATTTAATCTTAACCAATCATTGCCCTTATCCAAACATACGGTGCTAGACCATATAAAATTACCAGGGTTCTTACGCAAAAATGGCTCATATGTACCTTGATCCACATATTGTAGATTATCTAATGCAAGTTTAACCGGTCTATTGATCGATGTAAACAATGACTTTGGGGGCAATGGTTGTTGAAACTCGTTTCCCGACAAATCAAGTTCCAGGTGCTTTTCTGTAGGCTCGAGGGCTACGGTGAATGCGGTCACGTCAATGTCCAGGCTGTGCACGCGGTCGTTGATGATCATCAACTCGGTCAATTGGGTCATGTTTGCGAACGCGTGGGCGCCTATACTTTGTATGTAAAAAGACTCGAGCAGCACAGACTGTAGGGATGGGTGTGACTGAAGTGCCCCTTCCGGTATAGATGCAAACCTCGCCTGACTAATAGCGAGTGCCACTAGACTAGTGGCGCCCCTAAACGCGGCGAACAGTTCGCTAATGTTGTCGGGTTTGTAGTCGTGTGCGAGTGGCGCATTATGGAAAGATAGGATTGATACATGGTTATCAATAAATGCGTCCGGGTGAATGTGGTGCAGGTTGAATGTGCCCTCAAAGCTAATTTTGCTAAAATATATGTCCGCAAACGCGCGCGCGGGTACTTCAGCCAACATAGTGTTGTATACCTATGCGTGGATGGAGGGTTGCAAATATTCGCTTAATACAGGTATAAATAGTATCATGAAAATATGTAGTAATTTAAAATTAAATATGTCCCACTAAATATGACCATTACAGTCAATACCCAATGGGTATATGCAAGAGTTGTATTCATTTACTGTATAAGCAGCTAGATTAACGTTGAAAAACAACCCTATATTACTATTTGTGTAACATAACTATTTTACATGTAACATAACTTAAGACGTTAGCATTACATTTACTTACATTTAATCGTGAAAACTGTTTGGTGTCGTTAAGCGCACGGCTCAGGCGCCCAAACACTGCGCCCAAATCTACCGTATAGTCTTCACCCCCGCACTCAATATAACGCTTGTATATTGTAATGTCTTCGTAACACTGGCAGGGCGTCAATACTTCGGGCGCCGGGCATATCAGTCTAGCCTCTATCGTAGCCACGATTAACCATGTTGCAATAAGCCACATATTGAAATGGTATATATTTGCCTGTATATTAAATGCGTATAGTTAAAATATTAATATACCTATTGAAGTAATATTACACTTAATATTTTACTTACCATGTTAAAATGTATTAATTATTATTTTAATAATTTCAAACGGATAATTGTTTACTGAAA